GGTATTAGAGAAATGGGAGCAATTCCTGATATCTTATTCATCATTGATACTAATAAAGAGCATATTGCGGTTAAGGAGGCTAAAAAGTTGCGAATTCCAATAGTTGCAATACTTGATACTAATTCTGATCCAGATGATATTACTCATCTAATACCTGGAAATGATGACTCAAGAAAATCAATAGAGCTCTATTGTAAATTAGCTACCGACTCTATATTAGCTGGAATAGAGTCTAGTCTAGCAAGATCTGGAGTTAAGATTGATAATATAAAAGGTGATGAGTTTATTCAAGAAAAAGAAGATAGTATTGTGCAAACTAAAAGGAAACGTAGTAAAGTTTACAAAAAAGAAGAAAGGGAGGTAGTAACAAATGAAGATGAATCCAGATAATATAAGGGAATTACGTGATAGGACAGGGCTTGGCTTAAGTGACTGTAAAAAAGCATTAGAAGAATGTGATGGTGACATCAAGAAAGCCGTTGATAAGTTGCGTACAATAGGTCTTGCTAAAGCTGACAAAAAATCTGATAGAGTAGCTTCAGATGGGCTCGTTGCTATGTGTTTGACTGAAAATTATGGTGCATTGGTTGAACTCAATTGCGAAACCGATTTTGTTGCAAGGAATGAGAAATTTATAGAGTTAGTTTCAAATTTAGCATCAATTGCTCATCAAGAACGCTGTATCAGCGTTGATGAGTTAAAAAATGCCAAGTATGAAAGCATTGGCACAGTGCAGGAAGCTATTATGAATGGTACGTCAGTTCTTGGTGAAAAGTTAGAGTTAAGCAAGCTTTGTTACCTAGAGACTAAGGATGGAGTTGTTACTGGTTATGTACATGGTGATGTACGTGGTTTAGGTAAAACTGGCGCTTTAGTTGCATTGCAATCACCCGGTGATAAGGCAAAGTTACAGGAAATTGGAAAACAAATAGCGATGCACATAGTTGCTATGAAGCCTGAAGCTTTGTCTATAGATGATTTAGATCAAATGAAGTTGAAAAATGAACGTTCTATAATTGAAGAGCAAGTAAGGAGCTTAAATAAACCTGAAGAAGTAGCAAAAAAAATAGTAGATGGACGAATGGCTAAGTACTATGAAGAAGTTGTTTTACTAGAACAAAAGTTCATAAAAGATGATAAAATGAAGGTTTCTGATTTTATAAAATCAAGCGAGGTGAGTGCTATTAAATTATCTGATTACAAGTTACTTGTTTTGGGCAGTGCAAACTAAATAGCAAGAAATGTCTTCCTTAGCAGATAAAGTAAAATACTCTAGAGTGTTATTGAAGATCTCTGGTGAAGCTTTGATGGGGTCACAGTCTTTTGGCCATGATATGGGAATAATAAGCCAATTATGCAAAGATATAGCTGATGTTAACAGGCTTGGAGTTCAGGTATGTATTGTTGTTGGTGGTGGTAATATCTTTCGTGGCACATCTGCGTCTTTAAGTGGCTGTGAAAGAGCAAGTAGTGATTATATTGGAATGCTTGCAACTATAATCAATGCTTTAATTTTACAAAACTTTTTAGAAAAAAATTTAATAGCTTCTAGGGTATTATCTGCAATACCCATGGCCACTGTATGTGAACCTTACATAAGAAGGAAAGCTATTCGTCATTTAGAAAAAGGTAGAGTGGTAATTTTTGCAGCAGGCACAGGCAACCCATTTTTTACTACAGATACAGCTGCAGCCTTACGTGCTGTTGAAATGAATTGTGATGTTATTCTAAAGGGTACACAAGTAAATGGTGTATACTCCGCTGATCCGAAAAAAAATGAGGATGCTGTAATGTATGATAGGCTTTCTTACACGGATTTATTGACTCGTGATTTAAAAGTTATGGATGCATCAGCAATTTCACTTGCTCGTGAGAATTCTATTCCAATTATAGTTTTTTCTTTGAAGGGAGAAAAAATAGTCAATATTATTAAGGGTCAAGGTACTTATACTATAGTTTCAGATTGTAAACAGTAGGTAATTTATGTTAAATGAAATAAAAGCTAAAACAAAAGAAAGAATGCTAAAAACTATTCAGTCCTTTCATGATGATATTAAAGGCGTACGCACTGGTAGAGCTAGCGCATCGTTGCTTGATGGTATAGTTGTAAATATCTATGGTGGACATCAAAAGTTAAATCAGGTTGCAGGCGTTTCAGTTATAGATAACAAAACCCTATCAATTAAAGTTTGGGATATTAATGTTGTAGGTGAAGTGAAAAATGCTATATTAAATGCCAACTTGAATTTAAATCCTGTTGTTGAGGGCAATACCATACGTATAGCTCTTCCGGATTTAACACAAGAAACCCGTGAAAAATTAGTAAAATTATTGCATCAGTTTTCTGAAAATGCGCGGATTGCCATCAGAAATATACGCAGAGATGTTATGGAAGAAATAGAGAAAATGAAGGGAAATAAGGAGATCTCAGAAGATGATTTTCATGGTGCTAAGAAGGAAATACAAAATATTACTGATGATAATATAAAAAAGATTGATGGTGAATTGTCCATCAAAGAAAAGGATATACTGAATCACTAAATGATATGGAGAAAGCTTACATAGCAAATGATGTCATTCCAGTGTTTGACACTGGAATCCAGTCTTTACTATACAACTATCTGATGCACTTGTTTGAAATCAAATTTCCTGGATCCCAGTGTCGGAGCACTGGGATGACACCAATTTTGCATTCAAGTATCAACTATTGGTGTCACTACAGTAACTCTCTTCCTGTCATGCAAGTAGCTGACACCTTCCAGGTGTCCATTGAAATCCAAAAAATTTCACTCAAGTCAAAATTAGGTTAAATTTAAATGTTGAATCAAGAATCTTTACCGAAACATTTAGCAATTATTATGGATGGTAATGGTAGATGGGCGAACAATCAAGGAAAGGTAAAAATTGATGGTTATAAAAAGGGCAGTGAAGTTGCATATGATATTGCCAAGTATTGTACGGACCTAACCATACCCTACTTAACTTTGTATGCATTCTCTATGGAGAATTGGCTTAGACCCAAAAACGAAACTGACTGTCTATTTGATTTATTTTACTCCGTTTTAACTAATGAAGATAAAGTCAATTTCATTTGCAACTGTAACATTAAGTTGAATTTTATTGGCAATTTAAGTCTGTTACCCAGTAAAATATTGGATCAAATTAAAAAAGCAGAAGAAATGACACATAAGAACGATGGTTTATTACTCACTGTGGCAGTCAGTTACGGAGCAAAGCAAGAAATTACACAAGCTATAAGCAATATTATAAAAGAAAATATTGCTTATGTATCAGAAGAGGAATTTGAAAAATTTCTATATACTAAAGATCTGCCAAAATTGGATTTATTAATTCGCACTGGCGGCGAAAAAAGGTTAAGCAACTTTTTATTATGGCAAGCAGCTTATGCTGAATTATATTTTTGTGATACTTTATGGCCTGATTTTTCTTGTCAAGATTTGAGCAAAGCATTAGAAGATTATACAAAAAGAGAGAAAAAATATGGTAGATAATAATTTTATAGTCAGAATATTGTCCTCAATAATAATATTATTTATATTTTCTTTTGCTACATATTTCAGTGATTTATCGTTTTACCTATTAATTTTTTCGATAGCAGTTTTATCTTCTTTTGAATGGTATAATCTAACCCAAGGAAACAAAATTTTATACGTTTTTGCATTATTATTAATTGCGCTACCAAGCGCCTCATTAATATATTTATATAATCTACCACAGGGAAAATATGCATTAGTATGGTTCGTCTTAACCATTTGGGGAATTGATGTTACTGCCTACCTGTTTGGCAAGAATTTTGGTGGAGCTAAAATTTGCCCAATTCTTAGCCCTGGAAAAACTTGGACAGGACTTCTTGGTGCAATCTTAGCTGGAGTAGTGTGCACAATTTTTGGATCAATATTTTTTGGTCTATTTTCAATTCTTTATTCTCCAATCATTGGCCTTGCAATCGCTATTCTAGCGCAACTTGGCGATTTCACTGAGTCGCTTGTTAAAAGAGCTTACGGTGTTAAAGATAGTGGAAGTATGATACCTGGCCATGGAGGAGTGCTCGATCGTATGGATAGTTTCATTTTTACTGCCCCTCTTATTGCTATTTACATAAGCTAAGTCTGCAGAAGAAATAAAGTGCCATTAGAGTTCATCCCTAGTCAGCTCCCCAACCGCTTCTACAGTACAGTCATGGACAAACGTCTTTTCACAATAAGGGCAGGCTATTTCCTCTTCTTCTCCCATATCTAAATATATTAATGGATGGCCGGAACCCTCATCATTCTCATCACCATGACAACAAACTTTTCTATTATTAACCCTCACTTTTGACATGCTACTCCTTTAGCTTATAACATTTTATATATTGAATATACCCATCCAGAAATAAAAAACAACAAGCACTATTCTCCATTTTTTATCCTATTCAGGTTAATCAATTCGTTTTGAACGCCTTTTGATACAAATTTGCTAACATCTTCTCCTAATCTTGCTATTTCCTTTACAAAACTTGATGAGATAAATTGAGTATCTTCAGAAGCAGGAAGAAATATGGTTTCGATTTCAGGAAGAAGTTTATAATTTACCCAACTCATTTGAAACTCGTAATCAAAATCCGATACTGCTCTGAGTCCCCTTATAATAACAGAAGCATTCTGCTCTTTGGCAAACTTCACTAGCAACCCATTAAAAGATATAACATCTGCATCAATTCCTAGCCCTTTGATTTCACTTTCAGCCATGCTTGTGCGTAGCTTTGTGTCAAAGGCAATATGCTTATTAACGTTTTCTGCAACTCCTATTATTAATTTATCGACTAGTTTACACGCTCTTTTGATTATGTCAATATGCCCAAAAGTTATAGGGTCAAATGTGCCAGGGTAGATTCCTATTCTGTCATTAATGTTCATCCTTTATTTTTATATAAACTACTTTAAAAACTTTTGATAGACATGATAACATTTTTTATCTAAAAATGAAAGTATACAGTTGGCCTGATAGCTCAGTTGGTAGAGCAAAGGACTGAAAATCCTTGTGTCGCTGGTTCGATTCCTGCTCAGGCCACTTTCTCTTTCGTGGCAAACTTGCCTTTTTGTTATAAAATACTCTATATCATAATATGAATATTAGGGAGATGGTATATAAATATTATAATAAAGTATTTAAGATCTTATTAATTATAGTTCTATTATTAAGCAATATTACTTATGCTGGCGTTAGTGAAAAACCGGCATCTCAACATGTAACCAAAAAAGAAGAACCAGCGTCAACTGTCTTGACGGCAGAAAATACAGTAAATAATGACATAGTTGTTGGTTTATTGAAAACGGAAAAAGCACATGAGCTTGGGCTATCTCAAAATATTTACGAGATGTTTAATAACTTTGGAGTTAAAACCGTACTCATTGACTACAATAAAATAATTAACCTAAAAGAAATCCAAGAAGAGTCGCTTATCTTTGCAAAACAAGATGAAACATTGGCAAAGAAGCTGACATTAGACCGAATAAAAATTGAAGTTGCAAAGTTTATTGAAGAGCACAAAATAAATAGAATATTTATTCCGGATAATTTACACTCAGCACCCACCCCTTATCGCCAGCTTGTTACTGAAGCAATTGCAAAAATAGTGGATGATAAGCCTGCAATTCATTTATTTGGCATATGTGAAGGCATAATGAATGCAAAGGGAATTGAAGTAATGAGTGTTGTGAGTGATGAAGAGAAGCAAATAAAATCAGCACCTAATCCACAGAAAGAGGATGTACCTCTTCAGCAGATAAAGATCGTTCCAAACAGCCGTTTAGCGGAATTAGTAGCTAAATTCTTAATACCTAATGAAAATGGCTGGTTTTCAACATATTTTCCAGATGCTCATTCAGGGGCAGTAAGTAATACACCAGAAAATAGAAGAAAATTGGAGTTACTTGGATATAAAGTTGCAGCATTTTCCAGTGATGGAGTAATAGAGGCTATTGAAGATAGGCATGGTAATATTTACTTTCAAAGCCACCCAGAAGCCCTTGTTGTAAAATCAGATAAAAACCTCTATTTATCAAATCACAAGGAACGTCAAGTGTCTACACTAGTTGCTATAGCGATTATAAATGATTTTCTTTACCGTGCTTAGAGCTTGTCCGCAAACAAGAAAAGGGATAGTATATGAGTTTTAAAAATGGGATTAGAAATGAGAAAGAAGTATCCAACAGATCTAAGTGAAAGAGAGTGGTTGCTAATAGAGAAACACTTTAGAGTATCATACAAGAAAGGAGGAAGGCCGCTGAAACATAGCAAAAGAGAGGTATTATCTGCAATTTTTTATGTGCTACGTACAGGATGCCAATGGCGCTATTTACCAAATGATTTTCCACTATGGAAGACAGTATATGAGCAATTTAGAAGATGGAAAAAGCAAGGAATTTTCGAGAAAATGAACTATGATATTAGTAAATACAGTAGGTCAAAAATGGGAAGGAATAAGGAGCCAAGCGCATGTATAGTAGACAGTCAATCTGTGAAAACCACAGAAAAAGGGGGGTCAAAGGTTATGATGGGAGTAAAAAAGTAAAAGGCAGAAAAAGACACATAATTACAGATACTCAAGGATTTATACTCGGTTGTTATGTCGGGGCTGCAAATGAAAATGACAGAGATGGTGTGAAAATAGCGCTGGATAATATGAGGAAAAAACACACTAATGTTAGGAAGATGTGGGGTGATATGGGATATCAAGGAAAAGATTTAAAAGATCACATAAAGAGAGAATATGACATAGAAATTGAAATTGTCAAAAGGCCTCCGAGCAGATTTTGGGTGCATAAAGATACACCACCAGAGCTATTACCAAAAGTGGAGCCAGGATTTAAAGTGCAGCCGAGAAGGTGGGTTGTAGAAAGGACTTTTGCTTGGATAAATAGGAATAGGAGATACCGTCTCACCAGTCAACAAAAAAATTATAAAAATTGCTCAAGTTACATCATAAAATCAAAAAATACTTTCAATTTACATCCTGTGTAGCAGTACACAGATTATAGTTAGTGGATATGTTGATAAGTAAATTAGTTACATATAAGACAGCAGAAATTTACTTATCAACATATCCACTAACCAACTACATTCAATAAATTTGTGTAAGATACTATTTCACATAAGATGTGATAGAAAGCATTTTTTGATTTTAAAGCACTAAACCTTCAGCCAACCTTTTAGCCCTATAGTTTTTGATATGGTCTGAATCAAAAGCCTTCTTTGAACTTAGAACACCAAAAACAATATGGAGTAACTTACGCATCGCAGCTCCCACAATGGCCATATTATGCTTGCCTTTTTCTTTTAATCTCTTGCAAAAAGTCATAATAATAGGATTGTGATTTTTAGCTACTATAGCAGGAAAATACATTGCCTTACGTAGTGTTCGTGAACCTGATTTACTTAATCTGGGTTTGGCATATACAGAGGAACCTGATGTTATATTTCTCGGTATAACTCCTGCATATGCTGCCAATTGCCTGGCATCTCTAAAAGCCTTTGTGTCAGGAACTTCAGCTAAAATAGCTGTTGCTGATTCTTCTCCTATGCCTGGAATAGTCAATAGAAGTTGAAAATTTTCCAACAATTCTTTGTGTCGATTTAATAGTTCACGTACGGAGTTTTTTATTGTTTCTATTTTTTGAGCTATATTCATTGCAAGGTCTTCCCAAGCATTTGCAACTTCTTTGGGAAGTCTCTCTTTTTTTTCTAAGTGGTTATTTACTAATGTTAACTCATCTTTTAACGCAACCGAGCAACGATAAAGATGTTTTAATTTTTTCATTTCAGGAGAAGGTGGTGTCCAACGAGAAGGTTCCTGTCTTTGGCAATAATCAGCAATAATTTCTGCATCGGTCTGATCATTCTTTTGTCTTAGAGCTTGTCCGCAAACCATAAAATTCAAGCATATTCCCTCTTTAACATCAATCTATTCATAGCCAGATATATAAAATTTTCAGTAGATGTTGTCAGCAAATCATATTCTTTCGATAGCCTTGTATCTTGAAAAAAGCATCTAATGCTTTAAGCTTAAGCACTAGATGGAGAAGGGAAAAACTCTGTTGCTAGCCTTAGATATAAAATCTGTATAGGAGACAAGAGTTCCCTTCTCAAAGTATAGGCTGGACGGTATCGTAGAAAAACCTAAATGGTTCTAATTCTGTATTCACAAGGTTAGCCCTACTTTTCATTTTAAATAGTAACGTATGGGGTTATATATGATCAACAACTTTTTGGGCATAGACATATCAAAAGATCGCTTTGATGTTTATCTCTCATTCATAAGTAAAAAAGGAAAACGTGAAACTAGGAAAAGAAGCTTTAAGAACGATGATAATGGGTTTCAAGGTCTACTGAACTTTCTACAAAAACATAACGTAGAACAAGTGAAAGCTTGTATGGAAGCTACTGGTTGTTATAGCGAAGCTTTGGCTGAATTTCTACACAATTCTGGATATTTTGTTAGTGTTGTAAATCCTTATTGTATTAAATCTTATGCGAGGAGTAAGCTTGTAAGACAAAAGAATGATCAGACCGATGCAGAAATTATTGCTGATTATTGCCAAAGACAGGAACCTTCTCGTTGGACACCACCTTCTCCTGAAATGAAAAAATTAAAACATCTTTATCGTTGCTCGGTTGCGTTAAAAGATGAGTTAACATTAGTAAATAACCACTTAGAAAGGTTCTGTCGCATCTATAAATTGTGGTAGAAGAAGATCGTTAAAACTGTAATTATGGGAATTATAGAGCAATTAGCATAGCAAAGTTCTCAAAAGTAGAAACGTTATCATTAGCCCCGATAATTTGTCTTTTTTGAAGGTTCTGTGGCATCTATAAATCCTGGTATGTCCCATTTGTAGGAAAGTAGAAAAGAAGTGATATAATCATCTAAAAAAAGCAAAGATGTTTCGTATTAGTTCAAAATTATTGCCATATTTCAAAGGATTTAGCTTTTCAGCAGAGATAATAATGTTATCTGTATATATGAAATGTAGATTCTCTTTGAGCTATCGAGATTTGGAAGAAATGATCAGTATAAGGGGAGCGAAAGTTGATCATGCTACGTTACAAAGGTGGGTTATCAGATTTGTGCCACTGATAGATGAATCGGTAAGGAAAAGGAAGAAGCAGGTTGGCAGTAGCTGGAGAATGGACGAGACCTACATTAAATTAAACGGTAAATGGGTTTATCTATACAGAGCATTAGATAGTCTTGGTAATACTGTAGACTTTCTGTTGTGTGCTCGTAGAGACAAGTCTGCGGCACTTGCGTTCTTTCGTAAAGCCTTTAGAGAGAATGACCTTCCTGAGAAAGTAGTAATTGATAAAAGCGGCAGCAATACTGCTGCTCTTGATGATTTGAATAGAGAAATTTCTGAAGATCGTAGAATCATGGTTTTTCAAATAAAATATCTAAATAATATTGTTGAACAAGATCATAGATTTATCAAAAAACGAATAAGGCCAATGCTTGGTTTTAAGAGCTTCCACTCCGCAAAGATTACCATCACCGGCATAGAAAATATTCGTATGATTCAAAAAAGACAAATTATCGGGGCTAATGATAACGTTTCTACTTTTGAGAACTTTGCTATGCTAATTGCTCTATAATTCCCATAATTACAGTTTTAACGATCTTCTTCTACCACAATTTATAGATGCGACAGAACCAAATCTTCTCAATAAAGGAAAAGTGGCAAGGAGCGAACCAAAAGCGATGAGAAAGGATCCAAGCCAGATTATAGACATTCCAGGTTTATAGTGCACTTTAGCTGCAATTTTGCTCTTACTCTTATCAATCTCTCCAATTACAACATAAATATCAGAAAGCAAATTGTGGTAAATACTGCTTTCAACATTTTTCTGACCTTCCGCAAGGTAAAATCTATATTCAGGAGTTACTTCACCCAATATCTTGTTATTCAGCAAATTCCTGATATCCATTGTACCTCTCACTGCGTGGAAATTTTTTTCTTTTATTAGCTCAATATTTTGCAAAGTAACTTTAAATTTATTGACTGTTATGCTATCCC